AGCAAGATTGTGAAAAATAAAAGAGGTATAGAAAATGTGTCTCACTCACACATTCGTAATGCAGCATTCAAAATTAGAGTCAAACCAATATATTCATTATTCAATAACAATAATTTCCAATGGTTGCACCATGTAGTGCGTGTTAAGCTTTCGCTGTGGGCTCGTTTTTAAATTTGAAAGCAATTTTTTTTATTATTTTGCCCTTCAGATTGCACAGATACAGATATATTGAGATGGGGATAATATGAAATTTGCGAGTTTATTCATATTTTGTGCAATTTGATTTTAATATATCGGAAAGAAGTGCCCCATAAAATTGAATGGTTGTGGCTTTGTTTTACATTTTTATTGCGTTGTCTAACGATAATGAATTTGTTTGAGCAAATATGCAATTCACTGTCCATCCAAATGTGGATTATATTCTTGGCACTAAACCGATTCTCAGCACTAGAAAAAAGATACAAAAATTGTAACAGTCTCGCTATAAATTGCGCAGTGTAGGTTGCTTGGTTAGATTTATTGTATATTAAAAATGAATTTCATTCCATGTATTTCCGTTAACATGCAATTGGAATAAGATATTCCATGTTTGTGCATAAAACGCATTTGCAAATATAGAAAGAGCAGAAGCGCACCACTGAATCAAGATTCGTGGCAATTTTCTTGGTTGAAATGACGTCACATAGTTTGTAATTCCCACAAAACACACAGACATACAGAGAATGCATTCTCATGCAGTGTTTCATATATCGCTATCAGTATCCGTAAGATAACTGAGAGGGATATATTCAGCCAGATATGAGTGTCAAAATTGTGTCAAAATTGCATTAGACACGCTTACCATCTCCAGTGTCTAATTTAGACAGTGTCATATCTGGCTGAATATATCCCTCTCAGTTATCTTACGGATACTGATAGAGATATATGAAACACTGTTCTCATGCGAGAGAGAGTTGCGGCAATAATGTTCTTATTTTGGCAAATGAGACAAAAATTTAAATTTAAATTCAATTCTTTCGCCCTCACCATCTCTCGCTCATCTCCATTGAAATGAGACCAACTTTATTTATTTTGGTGTTGTAGTTTTAAGCTGCTTGCTATCAGATAGTTTTTCTGCTGTTTCTAGCTTACTAAGACTGACTGTGTAACTAGGTGAAAGTGAAACCGAAAAACGAAACAAAGAGAAGAGACCAAGGTTAAATACAAACATGATGACATTGACATACGCAACATTTAAGTTTTCGCACCAAACCGAATGTGATTGTATATTGACGTTAATGACGAAAACTTTTCGAAAACACTTACAAAATGAAAATAAACTCTGCACTTTTCGACAAAAGCTCGGTTGTGTCGCTGAATTTGATTGTACCTCATTTTTATTGTCGAATAATAAATTCTATTTGAAAGATTATCTTCTATCGTCATTACATCCCGCCTGCTTACGAAAAAGATCCATTTGGAAAAATGAATTCACTTGCGACATGATTTGCAGACAACGATGTCGCATTTTCTTCATTTCAAATCTAGTTTCCTATTATATGATAGTATTTCACTTTCGCACGATAAAATGAAAATGATGATTCTCACTAGATTTTGGCATGCACAGCCAATACTCATGTGAAGTGAGCTTTTATCGACGTTTTATAGTCTTAAAAAGTTTCTCTTCGCCGCACACACACACAAACACACACGACTAAACTAAAGCATCAAAGTGGGATTATTTACTAAATTGAAATGTGGTGAAATCAACTGTTTTGTTATGTGCGTTTATATTATTGTGTTGTTGTGCATGAGTTGCTTGGGGACGTTTTTGTCGTTGAAAATTGTGCCTCTGTGCTCTCTTATATAAAGACAAACAGGATCTTTTACGGTCATTTCTCTTTCATAACTATTGCATTCGCCACATCTTTTATCGATGAGATGCGCAGTAGCAAATGTTCGATATAAGAGCAAAGGCATTTTAAGAGCTGGATTACCAGAGATACTTTTGGTTCTATGGTCGAATGATTTAGTTTACGCTAAACGAGCCAACATCTCGTTCACATTGAATCGTTTGTAAAAGCATTTATTTCGGTTTTAAAATGAATGAACACACATTTTTAGTAAAAAGAAACGTTTCGTTTTTCTTTATACATTGGCAAAACAGACTATGCCATATGTCTCAATTTCAACACAAACACATTTCGAATACAAGCTATTCGACGTTTTCAGACGGGGGGAAAACAAAGAGACAGTTTTGTTGATTTCGATTTTCCCTACAAAAGCGTACATAACGAAAACGAAAGTATACCTTCTCTATCTCTCTCTTTTTTCCTCTCAAGAATAAAGCAAAGCAGTGGGGGTTGTCGCCTGGGTTTTTTGTCGTTTCTGTATTGTATTTTGTATGGCATATACAATAGTGTATGACATTTCTTTCTTCAGTGTATTGCTGCTGGGCAAATTGTCTAAGCGCACATTTCACTTGTGTTCACGTTCAAGCATCAAACGCTCTCAACACATGACATAAAATTGTATTGAGGCGCGTGAGCAAGCTTTGTGCCGTACTATATGACTCTGCGGCATTTCAGCAAACAGAAGAAAAATCGCTGAGGAAGTTAATGCGATGTAATATGAGATGACAGCGATCAAATCAATATATGTGTATCATCAACATTATGAACATAAGATATTCATAAGAAGATGCTTTTTTGTTCCCTTTGCCACTGTAACATACTATACATACATCAGTGGCCAAAGTTCAATCCAGAGAAAAGTGGAAAAAATGCACTGAGGCTAAATAGCGAGCATAAATGGAAATGAGAGGCAGGCCAAAAAAGCAATCGAAATTGTCATCCTCTCCCGGATTTCTTTCTTGTTTTTGACTTGGCAATTGAAGAATCGTAAAAGCAGACACATTTTGACTGTGTTTTTTTCGGCTATATGTCTGAATTGAATGACGACGTTCTTTCTTCATTTGTCTGTCGCATGACTTTTTATAAGATTCAAGGGTGTCACAGCATACAATTTTTTTTTGACTCTGCGCCGTGTGTGTTTGCATAAATGGTTTATCTTTCATGTAAGATTCAAGCGACTGGGTTAATCAAAGTTGACATGATGGATTTTGTGACAGACAGAAAAAACGAGATTGATATGAATTTCTTTTGAATCGAATTAGAGAGATGAAAGTCAAAATTGGCGTATTGGCACCGCATCATGGTGATTGCAACATTGGAATTGAATATTTTTCGCATCACTTAGTCCAAAAACAAAACCAAAAATAACAAAATAAAGTAATGGAAATACTCAAACAACAAAGAGTCTCAATCTAAATATCAAACCATTCAAATTTGAGTGCGGTTTGTATTCCAGCTATTTGCATAGCATGTCAATCAATAGCATATTGACAACGACAATTGAATTTCCATGAATTTTAAATGAACCTCAGGTTTTTTCCCCTTCTATTTTTCATTCGATTCAAAGAATGCAAATTAATATCGAGAAATCAAATATTCAACAAAATTGCCAGATCTGTTGTTGGATTTGAATAAGACGCAACCGAATCGAACCGATGAAATATAATCCATTGAATGTGGAACATGTATTTATCTAATTTAGTTCATAGATTTAAAACATAAGAGAAATGGAGGGGGAGATGACCAACAAATCGATCATCATCACGCCTCATATGGCAAGACAAATAATTGACAGATTATTTTTTCACTTTATCCATGGTTCGGGCCGGGTGTTAGCGTAACGTTTAAATGAAAAAGTTCCGTGTGTAACGATATCATTTGATGTGTATCCAATTCCATATTTGGTTATATGGTTCAACAATGTTACCAGTTTCTGGATGAGCAAATATTTACACACGCTTCCTTCAATTTCAGTATCAATTTTCGGACATGTCGATGACGAAAATGTGATACAGAGTCGTTTAAATGCTTCGAATTTACGTTCTAAACGATTTTCGCCAGTTGTCTTGTTGTACAAGTGCTTATTAATTAAACGAGACATGAAAGCGCAATCTCTCTAAGCTTCTCTCTTACACTTCAATGAAAAAGCCATGCACGTATAACTGCCATCGATTTTATTGGTATTTACGATGCTCACCCTTCGCAACAACAAAATAAATATTCGTTCGTTCGTTGGAAATTCGAAACTATTTATTCTCAATTTTCAGTTTTTGTCGATACGTGCGACGATGGAAAAAGAAATTTGTCATGATTTTTTTCCGATACTTTTTTTTGGCGATCACGATTCACTACATTCAAATTCCACGCCTATTTTTTTCCGTCAGCGTTTTTCTGTTTCGTTATTTGCACAGAGAAAAAAAATGAGATAGAGAGAGAGAATAAAGAAGGGGGAAATTTATACGATTCCGAACATTTATTTTATCGAATAGTCCTATTCAATTTCGAACATCGAATAATGAGTATTTTACGTGAATTATCTTGTTCATTTTCACACTCACGGCATTTGGAAATGTTTTTACGGATTTTTTTATCATCGTGAGTGTTTTCTCATTTGTATAACAAGTGTTTTCGTTTTTTGTTTTGTTTTTTTTTTTTTTTTTTTTCAGCAATCAAAATAGACAAATGGTTTTGCTGAAACATTCGTTTCATATGCAATGATATTTTATTCAGATTAATGCTGTGTGATTTTTTCTTACTCACAATTTGTTGAACAAAGTTCGTTCGGACACCAGTTTATGTACTGTTAATGGTTTTTTTTTTTGCAAATAAACCCAGTGGTTCAATTCATTTCCGCAAAAGTGAGCAATTTTAATTAAAACGTTAAATATTGAATGTGAGCATTCATTTTTTTCCCACCGCTAAATTCATAAATTAAAACTACTCTCGCATTGCGAAAGTAAAAGAGAACAAAAATACCGTAAGTAAAAAAAATCGTTGTAAACTTACCGTAAATATCGTTGTGCACATTAAAAACACCTTCAATGTTCACACGTTTATTAGACAGAGTGAGTGATCAAGCGAAATGGCAGAAAACTCTCGTTCACAGTGTTGAAATCGTGTAATTTTCGAGGTGAACCAAACGAATTAAAAATACATCAAGTTCGGTGAGGAACGACGACAGACAGAACTACACAAACCAGTTGAAATAACCACAAAACGAGCTAAATCACGAATTTTAAACTCGAAACACACTAAAAAAACTTATCCACTATAAATCTGTAACGCACACACCGCACATACACATACTCTCTCCTTCAAATCACTGAATTTGTTGCATTCAAACGTGCATAACTCAATGGAAACATAACGAGACAGAAAAATACGTTTTTTTCTAAAAATATTTTAAATTTTTTTTTTTTTTCGAGTAGAATGTTTAATTTGAAATGCTATGTTCCGGGCCGTTTTTCCGACTACAATCTTCTGATAGTGATAAAATATTTCGTGCTAGCGCGATTACAACAGATTAAATTCGACACGCATATAGCTTACACTGTAATTGTATTTGGATACTATTTGGGTTTGTAAATGTTTGCTATTCAAAATTTTGTTTCTTTTGGTATTTTAATCGCTGAAATTTGGTTGCTGAGTTGCTTTTGTTGGCTAATGTTGGAATTTGGGTTGTGTTCTCTGTTGAAAATCCTTTTTCAAACCAAATGCTCACTTTGGGAAATTCCCTGCCGATTCACCACTCTGCAAATAAATAAGAATGCTTTAGTGGAAGAAAGACAAATGGAAACGATATCATTGAAATTAAAGTAAATTTAGTCCTTTGTGTCTACACAACGAATTCACCTGGTGCATCTTTGTCAAGTGGAGAGAAAAATCGAAAAGCAGGAATTCTATGTACTACCCATCAACCTTTGTTCCCAACATTTGGAACATTCAATTTTAAAATGACAGTATTCCTGGTATTTTTAGTAAAACTACACATGCGCATTTTCGGCAAACTGAATGCGAAAGATAAACGTACGATTTAGATCATATCCTATGCTTCCAAAAAGAATTCGGGATTTGCAAAAGTACTACTCCCAAATTGAATAGATTTCACATTAAAAAAAGTCCCCTTAATTTCAACTAACGATAAGAACACCAGCACATATAAATTTAGTGATAATCTTCGGAAGAAACACTTTGAAGAAAATAAGTTTGAAAACTTGTCGATCGAAAATTGGTACAAATGATATTGTAGTGATTGAGATAATAAATCTATTATTGTGTGTATGGGTCTGTGTCAATGTGAGAAAGTCGCTTTCAATGGGAATGCTCTGCGTTCAAAAGTCTTGATCATTAATCAATTTTTTTAGATTTATGCTGTTCGAACTTTTCTCATTTATACCGTTTTTTTTGCTCAACATTTATCTGTTTATTACTTTTGGTTTTCGATATTGGTAGATAACTTTTTGCGCAACAAAAAACACCGAATACCGAAACAATCAGTTGCTCTAATTGGATGCCAATATTTGGCAACATAATTTTTTCTTTACAAAATCGATCTCGTTTACTATCATTCATTGTGTTTTTAATCCGCTTAAGAGCATGGAGCCTCTCTGTTTTTTCTCCCGATTTGTATTTATGGTAAGTATACTTGATTTGGTTCTCGATATTGCAATGTATGGCAAACTTGCCGAAGCAATCAGGTTGTAAATTTAATTAAAACCATTTTTTACTATGTGAACTATGAACAAAGTCAAAAGAATAAACAACTTTTTTTCTAGCTTGTCGAGGTTTTTTTTTCTTGAAAAAAATTCCCCGCAGCACCGGAAAGGAAAAGTTATTTTCCGTTTCATAACAGAAGCTTCGAATGGCCAAGTCTATCGTTGTTTCATCGTATGTGAAGTATGATTGTAATCTATGTGTTTCATAAAAACTTTGGAAATGAATAACGCAAAGAGAAAACGAAATATTCTGGGCAATTTTTTTTGCATATTCATCGAAAAATACGCTAAACGAATCGAAAGTTATGTTTTACATCGACAACCAATGGGAATTATGTAGTAGTTCACCCAGTTCTTTTTCATCGGTTGAAGAAAAAAATATATTGTGGCAATCTTATGAAATATTCAGTGAATTGTTACTTTGACCTAATTAAACGAAAAATTTCAAGCAAATTTTGTTCAACAGCGCCACAAGTTTCCTCTTCCATGAAATTCCAATGGATAAATATTGTGATGAAATTTATTTAAATATTGACTGAACAGAGAGAAAGAGAAAGAGAGAGAGATCCCAGTTGATTTTGGCAAAATTTGTAACTTTTCAGCGAGCTGAAAATAGAACACTTTTGCTTTTGGCATGTTTACACATTTTCTTCATTGAAAGCATTTGATTTATTTTTTACATTTGTCAATTGTAAACTTAATTTGAATGTACATCATTTTATTTTGTGTTTGTGTTTGTCGCCCGCAGAAACATTTTTCCATTCAATTTAATTTTGAGTGAATTTTCCCAAATGAGTGTACGAAAAATGATGAAAAACAGCCTTAGCTTATTAGCTTTTTGTATGAAATGGAAATGCCACTATTTATTTTGGGTGTTTGGCATTACTTTGAATTTGATTGTAAAATTCGGGACTTTACCGCACTGTCGTTGTCGTTGTGATAAGCCACAACAATCAAATTTTGCACACAGATCCAAATGTAAACACGCATGGAAAATGTATACTGTCCATCGTTTCAAACTCAATAGCCTAATAAAATTTACTTTGTTTTACATTGATGACAACTTATGGTTAGTGCACTCCGTCTGAATCGAATAAATCAAATGTATGGCACTTTTGGATTTTATAGTACATGTAATTCATTACAAAATGTACAATTTAATTGTATTTCATTGCCGCACCCATCTGGATTTGATGAATTTGTGCTGAAACACTCATTAGATCCAAGTACACTTGCTGAATATTTAATTGAATATTAACAAAATTTCGGCTGATGCAGTTGCTCTGCAGTAAATGAGCTGAATTGGCTCGGTTGTGTGGCTTCATTTGTATATGATGCTATATATTCAAATGCATTTCAACATTGGAAAGGTGACAATGTTCAACAAGCTAAGAAGAGACTCTCTGATAGTTGGCCATTTATTTTGTGCAATTTTGCACGCTATTCATTCGCAAGCACCATGACTTTAAGATTCATGAAAAATATGTGTTTTGGTATCGTTGTAAATTCTTGAATGTTTTGTACTAAATGGCAAACGTATCACTTTTGCCACTGCCAAAATGCACCCAAAGTGCTACTCGGGCGAAACGTATACAGTGTTGAGTGTGCTCGTTGTGAAAATGTTCGTTGCTTGTAACAAGTGTTTTACCAAGGAGTGGTCGTAAATTTGCATTTAAAAAAAAACATTTCACTTTTACATTTATCGAATGCAATGTGGTAGCTTGCCTGTAACAATTGCAACGGGTTACTTGACAATACCATTGATGTTACGATGAAACTGTGTCATTTTTGAATCCATTCGTATACCTCTATTTACCATTTTAAATGAGAGACTTACAAATCACTTGCACTTACGTTATGAAAGTTGCAGAAAAAAACGCAATTAAAAAATAAGCGAGTATTTTGCGTAATTGCTGCCGATCCTTAAGCGTAATGTTCGGTATATGCACACTGCACTTAAGCATCACAAGTGCCATTGACGTTCAAGAAAAGTGTGTGTGTGTGTTTTTTTTTTTATCCTGTGCTTATGATGTTCGAAGAAGGGAAAAATGCATTTTGCCGTAACAATTAATCTGATATTGAGACAGACACATTCCTACATCGTAACAATAATAGCAATAATCGAAAAGCACTTAACGAAAATGAGAAACATTCGAAATGGAGTCGCTGCATAAAAAAAGCACTTTTGTGATATCACAAAAAAATTAATTGGAATGAAAATAACAATAAAATCAACCGCTAACAACATTTTCGATTTGTTTGCGATGGTAACGCGTTTACGTACGTATGCACTTTTCTCTCCTAATTATAATGTTCAATGTTATACACAACGACAAATTTCACGTTTAGTTTTGCAAATATTTCAATGACCATGCACATATTTAATCAAACGTTTTTTGAATGAGCAAAAACACTTTTCCACTATGAATATACTATATGTATTGATTTGAAAGCAATTTTACTTCGAAAATCCATTGTAATTCGAATCCATTTAGCTCCGAATAAAGTACAATGAACTGAAATCGAAATTATGAAACTACCGTTAATATAAAGAGCCATTTAACAAAAATCCTTGTGCGAAAACATTTTCAATTTTACTATTTTGAATATCATTAAATATGGAATGATTTGAGGAAAATATACGAATTCGTTAGTCCAATGATAAATATACGAATACGTTTCGGAAAGGAACCGCTCTCTCTTTCTTTCTCCCTCGCACTTTTAGGCTTAGATTTTGTTTGCCGATAAATTCACTTGAAATGCGATTATTTACTTTCTCTCTTTTCTCTCCATAGATTAAAATGTGTGTATTATTCGTCTCGTTTTTCTGCTGAAATGCTATTTGTTCGATTCAGTTGGATTCATTTTCCATTCATGGCATTTTGCACGGAAGAAACAATTGTGTATGTGCCTGTGCTGTACTGCTTCTGGTATATTGAAAAAGCAGTAGCGTTGAGGGTTTATCTCATGTAAATGGGCATATATGTAATACAGAGACCGTTGATACTGGTTGCGAACGCTTTATGTGCTACATGTCTGTTTTTGAGAGTGCGTACGGTGTATGTGTGCATGTTCATGTGTATAAAACACAACTCTCTTGAATAATTTGGAAAATGTATAATGCTTTTTTTCGGGTTTGATTTTGGGTTTATGTAAACATACGGAACGTTCGAATGGTATGCTTGATATTGAATGCTACCGTGTTTGCACGCACAATGCCTCGTCACTTTATGTTTAGTAAAATTCATAATGTGCTCCCCATTAAGAGTTTTCTCTTTCTTTGCCTTGCTTTATTCACTCTCACCACTACCGAGATGAATGTGACACAAAAACGGAAAAAGCATCTCCTCAACGGGCTCGAGAACATGTTCGGTTCACTCACAGTGGCACAGTGTCATGTGAGAATATACACAAATGGTCGGTACACCATTCATCCGAAAAGAAGAGATATTGTGCGTACGCGCACATCGAAAACACTCTTCACAATTGCTAGATTCTTTGAGCTCACTCGGTCGTCTTGTGTCTCTACGCTGTTTCTCTCTTTGACTATAATTCAAGACTTTGGCAACATAACTTTAGCAAATAATTCAAATGGAAAAGGCACCGAACGTATATGTATATTTCGGGAAAGTTAAATAGTGAAGAGAAAGCGAGAGAAAAATGATGAAAAACGGCAAGAAAGAAAATCGACCGGAATGCAAAAGACAAAGAAGGCAGAAAAACAAGTTGATGTGATAGGAAAAAAGTTAATCGTTTTAGCAGACATTAGGTTTGAGCTATGGATATAGCGGCTGTCATTTCATAGGCGATATTCATAGGCACTATTTATCTCGTTTTAATGCATTTATGCATATTGTGCGTTATTTTCTACATCTCTCTCCTACTCACATTCAAATGTACAAAAGAATAGTAGGCTATTCCTACTCGGTGTTACAAACAGCACACGAATTAAATAGCGCCTATGAATAGCGGCTATGAAATAGCAGCCGCTATATCCATAGCTCAAACCTAATGTCTGCGTTTTAGTAAAAATATTGAGATAGAAGAAAAAAAATGTTTTCCTCTTGAATTGGGAGCAAAAAAAAAGTTCTACGCAATGATAACAACGTACGAATGTTGGTTGGTTTAAGGAGCAGTAAACAACTCAATATTACTTTAGTTTTTTGTGACCTCTTTTGAAAACGCATACCAAAAAAATGGGTTAAAAATTAATTCCACAATGAAATTGAAAACCCATTTCATCAAATTCGGTTTTATTTAATCCATATTAATAAAAAAAGAGAAAGTAATATCCCATTTCAAGAGCAGCATCATCTGACGTGTTAAATCTTATTCTTGCTGATAGGTATGGTTATTTGTCTGGTCAAAGTCTTTCAACGAACAGAGTTTCGGGTTGAATGAGCAAAGCTTAACACATGACAACACTCTCAAATTATCAAATTTCGGAAAACGGTACACGAAACATGTTGAATTTTCTTTGCTAAACTGGTATTCATGTGTTTCGAAACACACTCACACGAACCATAATTCCATGGACAATTAATTTCAATTCAGAGTTGATGTGTGAGCTGAAAATTTAACCAAAGCCCATAAATGATGGATGCTCAAATCCCGCAAATTCCCCATCGTTCGTCGATGGTTTGGTGTTCAGGTAATCAGCAATGCATTATTTCGATTTTGAATTTATGTGATGATAATCAAAACGAGAATAAAATGAGTGATTTTGTGAAAGCTCGAGAAAATGTTTCATTTTCTCTTCCTCTTATTCTTCTTCTCTCAAACCACTTTTTTCAAATCACATACATAAGCACAAATATGCGAACACGCACCCTCTTCAGACGGATTTCACAACACATAAACAGTGCAAAAGCAAAAGCGAATATATGTGAAAATGTTGAATAAAAAATGCGAACATTGGAACCATGTGTGTGAGAAAATCTTTTATTATCCTCTCTGTGTACGTTTTTTTTTTGCTTTCTTGTTAGCATTTCGGTAACGGTAAAGGTGCTGCTGTGCTATCAGGGAATTTGATGCGCGTTCTTATGCTTTACTATAACACACAATTTTATTCAGCTAAAACTTCAGCGAACGCACATAACTCTCTTCTACTTTTCTCATTTCTATCGCCTGTTTTTTTCTCTCTTTTGGCCAATATAATTTTCGTTACACGTATTTTCCATTCTTCTTACATTTTGATCTTTCAACCGAATGGTATTTCTTTTTTTTTTACTTCTCGCACAAGATGCAATGATTTTGTTTGTCCCAAGCTATTTGCGTTCATTCACTTCCATTTACTTCACTTTTGATATTTTAACATTTTTATGCATCGCCATTAATTCGAAGTCAATTAACAAATATCTATGCAAACGTATTAGTTTTGTTGAATTTTTTTAGCTGCCTTTTCTGTGCAGACAACAGCGTTTACGCAAAGACAAACTCACGTTGAAGAATATTTTGAGTCTGTGTACCGGTGTATGAATCTCTGATTCAAACGACAGTCAATCCGGGACTGAACGCTTCATGCGAATTTTTTGTGTTCAACCCAGTCACTCAGCTCTGACTTTACCGTTTTTGCGAATGCCTAACAACACTATACGCTATCATTGTATTGGTATTCACACGCTTGCGATTTCCTCACATTGGGTTTTGATATCAACTTAATGGAGACGGTTTATTGCTCACAATATGAGTGAATTCAGGAATACGATTGAATTGTAAACAGTTTTTATTTTATCGCAAATCATTTAGATCCGATGTTAGACATCAATGTTTTCATCCCAAAAAATAGATTGATAAGTGAATTTCATGAAATTCATTATAAAAAACAATAAAAAATTCGCTGGCAATATAATTTGCCCATAATTTCAAATGCAAAATGTACCATCAATGAATGTTTACATATTTAAAACATCCTATTCGAATATTTGAAATGTTAAACAACGTATTTTGGTGTCTGTATCAGCTAAATGGAGCCGGTTTGAATTATTCGAAGAAAACTCTATATCGCCCGCGCTATACGCGATAAAATAGAAAATAAGTACTCAGTGATATTATTCCTCGTATTTTTATTTCTTTTATGAATTCAATGATTTCTTACAGGAATGTTTTTCACATATGCATTATAATTTTTCAGAAATTAGGCTAAGTCAATCGAGATTATTTACTCAGAAACGGCTGATATCAAGAGAAGTGAAAAAAGACAACTTTTTATGTCTCATGCATACTTCATTAACATCCATAGCGCTTATAACAGCTTGCTGCTGCATCCAGATGCAAAGCCGTTGGCTACGTACTCAGCATCAAAACATCGGAAAGTGAGAGAGACGATCTATACTTAGGAAAATGTATGATGTAATTTCGTTTTATATTTGCGTATTTATAATGTTGCTTTCGCAAATATTATCGCCCATCTCTTAATATTAGAACGTAGTCAAGTGCACTTCTTCGAAAGTTTTTTCCCTTGAACTCATATTTAAATTTGAAAGGATTTATTCCGTCGTTAACGTATTTATGACTTCGCCATTTCTTTTTGTTTTCTGCATTTTTCAGATGCAATTTTCACTTTATTCCATTCTGTGCTAGACAAAAAAAAAAGTCCTATCAAAGAAATTAATCATATTGTGAAAAATAATAAGTCTCCTGTGAATATTTCAAGATTTAATGCATTCAACTCGTTTATATCCAGAATTTTTTCATTATCGTTGCATTTATTTTGTAATAGTTTTCATTTTATACTTACATTATGGTTTGGTTGTTTTTTTTGGGGAAAAATCGTTACTTGTTTGATGCCTCAACGATTTCTCATCGCATTTAGGTTTTGAAGCTTCCATCCTCGTTGCAAAGCTTCTAAGCTAAAGCTTTTGAAGCCGTTAAGTTCAAAACTAACAAGAATAATGTGAAAAATAATAAAAACAAGCAATTTATTCTATTTTTATCGATGATCGTATGAGGATTGATAAAATGGTTCGTTAGAACTTTGTTAAACAGAATAGTAAATACTCGAGTCAGCGTATCGTTCGAGCGATAAGAAACTTATCAAAATTTAATAAAATTGACAGTATTTGTAAAGATAAGAAACAATTTTTCTAACTAGACTTCATTTGAGTTAGTTCAATATATAGATTTATGATTCATTTGTAACAATGGTATCAAATCATCATCCAGATATATCTGGAGAAAAAGTTGAAAATTAATATCCAAAGAAAGATAATAATTCTAAACAATTGCTTTATAGTTGACTATAAACATTACGAATGCAGCTACTATTGTTATTTATTTCGCCGGTACTTTCTCCTCTGACTCATGCAGCTGTCGAAGTGATTAACGTTTCTTTGTTACTATTGAATTACTATTGTTTTGGAGTGATAAACGACTATAACTAATGAATAAAAACAAAATAATCTTTAAAGTCATTTAATTTTAATATATAAAATACTTGAGCGCGAGACAAACATTTGTTTCGATGCCACCAGGCATCATAATTATTCGCAACTGTTTTCGAAAGTCAAAAAATATTATTCAGAATGTGCTATAACATGTGTTTTTTTATTGTTGAATGATAATGAGCGTAAAATGAAACATAACCCACAGAAGGCTACAAAAAAACACTTATTACTCGAATAAAACTTACTTTTTCTAAATGGTGCCCCATGTGGTGCCCCCTACATGATCTCATAGCCACTCCAGGCATTTTCATATCGGCACGTTATAAAAATTGACCCACCCTAATATATATCATAGCCAAATGAGTTACCATCTATACTATTTGTAGATTCGTAGTTTATCAACTGCAAGCGGTTAATTGGTTTAAAAGTTTTCATAAGTTTTGTCTTGCGGCCAGTATTGATTGTAAAATCAATGTTCAATAGGCTGAAGCAAAATCACTTGAACGAAATTGTCGTAAATATCAAAGTGTAATTGAATTTGCCGCTTCACATGATTGAAATATAATGTCATTTTTATTGTACAAACGCATATATCTCAGGAGTATTCACAATTGAATCGAGTGTGACTTATCGCACGTCATTTTCACAAAGTCAAGTCGAAAGCAAAACTAGCACAATTCTCGAATAAAACGTAACAAACCATCTAAATTGATGGTTCTAGCGGTGACATAAAACACAGTGTCACGAATGTATGAAGTTATTCAACCATGATGTCACAACGCTCAAAATTTTTGGCATACATACGCATTTGCATATTTACTCACAAACAATTTACTTGCATTTTGTATAATGAAAAAGAGGTTGGTTTGTTTGTGACAAGCTACAGGGTCCTACGGCTACTAGATTGCGTTAATAGAAATCATATACATAGAGCAGCACGGCAACGGTTGATTAATATTTCTAATGTGCGTGCTTGACTAAAGCACATAACGATAAAATCACTCCCTGGTCTGCAATAATGATTGGCTGAAAAAGGGCAGACTGAAGCTATTTCATGTCTATATTAATAACGAAATGTATTATATCCGCATTGGACACATATCACATGCTTGGAATTTCAAAAAACAATATATCGATGATACAGTTGTATTGAGAAACAAAACAAAAAAATTCTTATCGATTTTTTTATAACACTGAAATTCACACGAACATGGTCAATTAAAATGCGTCATACAAACCAACAACTGATGTGAATTATGAAAACGGCTGAAAAGAAATGATTAATATCACACTTGAATAAAACACATCGTTTTGAGTTTTTATGGATTAAATTTAATGTGAATGAATGAATTGGTCAAATTTATTCTAAAAATATGAATATATATATTCTCTTCTTTAAATTGTTTTGGGAATTTTGTTTATTCAGGCTATTCGTTGGTATCGTTTAAAAAATATTTCTATTTTATTATTTTTAATTTTATCTAGCTAAAGGCTGATATTGTTTGCACGTTTGAATAGAAGATATTAAATAAATAGAATCCAAGATCAAAATATGTGTATGTGTATTATTTCTTTTTCTTTTTTCGTTTGAACCAATTTCAAAATGTAAAACAATAATAAATATTTTATCGCCACTTCTAACATCTTCGTTTTCATTTTTTTGTCCATGCAAGCAATCACTTAATACTTAAATTCGGAACAGAATCAACAGAATATATTTACATTTTTTATTTTACACTGCAAAAATATTTTTAATTCTCTTCGTAAAGCCATCCAACATTTATCTGACTGCATTTGGTACCCGTTTATTTATTTTTTGCATGTTCTATGTTTCATAGTGTTCCTTTTTCTTTTATTGGTTTAGAAAATAGAAACTTCACCCATTAATCTATCTAAATAGCACAATGTTTTGAATTGCTTTATTTATAACAATTCCAGTAGAATTTATGATTTATTATTCACCATATATTTTGTACATTGAAACCTAGTTGTGTTTTTATTTTATATTCACTTGTTTTGTTTTTTACAAAATATTTACGGTTAGTGTTTAGTTAACTTTTAAATTCTCTGTGCAAAATCGTTTATAAAAAATGTTGTCTATTAGTCAAGGCCTCTTGCTTTTCTTTTGATTCTGGCGTATGGGCCAACCTGTGGATCCATGATGAAATCGTATAAAACTTGTATCCAACTGTTGTGCTGTGGCATATCATCGTAAAATTCGGCAGCAATGCGTTTAACTTCTGGCAATCGAGAGCCTGGTACAGCCGGAAAATCGTGGTGTTCATTGTGGTAGCCAACGTTGAACGTGATAAAATTCAATGGTCCATAGTACGAATATGTTTCAAAGCCTTTGGCAAACATATAATGTTCGGAAATGAAATGGCCAGCAACTGGATGTAATCCCATTGCCAACAGTGTGCCAATAATCAAATACCACAGTACTCTCCAGCCGAAAAAATGAACGACAAATGCATCGAAAATAATCTGAATGATGGCATTTATCACTTCCAAACGGTTTGGTGGTTTTGGATTGACGATCAATGGTCTTATTAGGTAGAAAAGTGGTTGCAAACAAACCCAACAGAATTTACCAAATGTTGTATCGAATAGTTTTGCTTCAATTAATGTGGGTAAATCTGTGTCAATCACCTCATCGCCTTGATATCGATGATGTTCCAAATGGTATTTCTTGAATGACACCGACATCGGAACGCCAAGCGGTAAATTGCAAAAGAATCCAAACATACGATTTGCCATCGGTCGGGCATGACCAAATGCCAAATTATGTGCAATCTCATGTATGGCCAATGCAAGTGAATGATTTATAACACCACCAAAACAATACGCAACTATCAAAGTAATCGGCCAAGATTGTCCTTTCATAATAAACATCATTGCGAATTGCAACAATACCATTGCGCTGGCAACATACTTGAAGTTCGGATCATAACCAAATAGTTTTTTTGATTTGCGGATATTTTTCAAGAATTATCTTGCGACGTGATGCATGCGGCTCTTCCGTATACACCCATTCAAAATCTGTACGTGACACTTTCTGTCCCATTTTTTCTTCTTTTTTTTCTTCACTTTACACTTGTTGTTGGCTTTTTTTTGGTTACACTAAATTTTCTTTGGTTTTAATTGAACACAAAACGTTTCTATTACGTTTTCTTTCTATCAGTTGACTGTCATTCAATTATTCATAACTTTTCAACTATTTCAATAGAATACGAAGAAAGCCGCACACACAAATTCACTTGTGGCCGCACTGATGGTGTCTGTATTGTATATGGACATTTCTATGACAATCGGCTCTCATGGTTCGAGTTTTTTTTCTAATTTCTTTTCCATTTGACATTTAATCACATATGCGGGTATGTTATTCAGCACTTATGGCTGAATAATGGCTGAATAAAAACATACTCTCCTATCGTTATATTTAATAAATATGCTGTGCAAGTATTGCCAGTTCTAACTGTCATTTGAAATTGAATTGTGTGCTGTTCACACGTTCGGAATACAACAGTATTACATTTTTTTAAAAGTCATATAAATTCAAATTTGTATTGCCTTCATTTGATTTTGTTTTCAATGGAACATACTGTGTACAAAAAAAGGCTTAATTTACGCTTTGATGCAACAATTATATTTGAAGTCAATCAAAACAAGTTGGCTGAATACAACTTTTATATCTTTTTCGTTAACTGCTGTCACTGCGTTAATAAAGCCGTTTTCTTGGACCCCAAATGGGTCCATTATGAAAACTACCGATATCTCTTTGAAGCCTTGGACTCCCTATTCGGCAAGTAAACAGGCATCCAAGTAACTTTTTTAGGTAATCAAGTAAACTCTTTGTTTTACGCTCTGTGTCACTGTAACTGTGCTTCTCAACAACAAAAAACACAAACACAGCTATCATTATTGTCGTGCTTTGTTGCGTGTGATTTCTTTGACATTTGGGAGCTCTGTCTTCTTGAATCACATTTTTTGTTGTTTGTCAAGTAAGAATATTTTCCTATAAATTACTTCGATTTTCTCTCAATATTTTCTCATTTTTCCAGATTTCAGATCATTCAATACAACCATGAATGCCGACCGCAAAACAAACGAACCACAAAAACCGAAACTGTCACGAGAAGAATTGATTCGATATTTGACGCGTCACAAATTGAAGAAGAAGCAACGCAGAATTTTACCACGCACATTTATCAATACACAGGGTTTGCGAAGATCACAGTTGGAGCAAAAAAAGTCGACTGAAGTAAAACCACCAATCATGGGTCCCAATGTGAAAGCACGCTTGGAAAGCAATTTGACACTTTTACTCGAGAATCAAAACAAGGTATATCGACACATTCGGCCACCTGAAAGTTATATCAGCATTGATTTTGACAAACCAAAACCACCAACGAACCAGACAAACGATGAAGCCGAAAATACCCAAAAGTCAACAACTGACGGGGCCTCTCAAAATTAATTTACACATTTCCATTAAGTAAGCGTTTCTTCTGTATAATTCATGAAATACATTTACAAAATATTTGAATAAAAATTCATCAATAAAATATGTGAAATAAATCAACGGTATCGATCAATTCAATTTTGAAAAAAATAGGCTAAAAATTATTTATCACATAGTCCCATGAATCATCATCCGTAATATTTTGATTATTATCGTCTGAATCTTTTTCATCTTTGACGTATTCCAATGAAGGTTGAAGACCTTGTTTTACATATTTTGAATATGTTGGCACCCACCAGTCGTAAACTCGAATCGATGACGCCGGTTCATAGACAACAGAACCAACTTTTGCACAGCTGATATTGTTAAATTGTATTTCAAGTCGATAGTGATTGCATGAACGTGACAAATGATTTACAATCGATGCGATGAATACATTCGACTCAATCATATCCAATCTGGGTAATGGGTGAAATTTTGTCGATTCAATCTGAAAATTTGAGAAATTTAATGTCACACATTTCAAAAGAGGTCTCTCATTTTCACATACCATAAGTAAACTGCATCCTTCTTCCGTATTAAAATAAACATCTCTCAATGCCTTAATCGTTCGATTATCCTTACGTTGTAATTGTTCTGATTCGTATGTCCGTGAACCCGGTTGTAGTTTTCGTTTGATTTTGTAAAAGTACAAAAATTTCATTGCATCAATTTGCTGAAACCAAAACTGAACGACACGATGTTTGACGAGCATGTGAAAGTCCTGTTGGGATTGTTGACGCACACGATTCACAAATGATGGGTAAGTAAAGAACAATGAACGGATTGTACATGCTCTAATTCCACGCGGGCGGGTCATGCAATCCATAGTAAGACGCATTGGAAGTTCAACATTCGCTTTGTAATACCTTCGATACAAACATTTCCAAAACTTTAATGTCGTTGTTATCGTATAGGTTTGCCTACAAATTAATGCGAAAATTGTTATATCTTCAGGTCGAATGTATTCAGAAATTAGGAACCAAATATCATTCGGGAAGTAATTGTAGTTTTGATCGTCTTCCACACTAATAACGTTTGCGATTTTTGATTTACTCATTTTTTTCGTAACCATATCCGCATCGATATCAAGTGCTTCGTATTCACTGTTTGTTGCATCGGACTTCATAGTGTTCGATACACCTTTACGAATTCGACCCGATTTGTTATTAGCGTCGGCATACTCTTTGATTGATATGTCTATAGAAATGGATCATAAAAATGTGGAAGTTTTTGAGAATTTTTGAGATTTGAGATTTGAATTTTACCTGAATAATTGTAGTAACTTCGATTTCGTGGCATCTTCTTCAAGAGTTGCTCAACTTTCTTCTGACTAACAACTATGCCTCGGTACTAGTCAATTCCGTTTCACTACCCGTCAACTCCGTCTGACTACCTTACTGATTGAAAGAAAAAAAATAATTCTAAATAGAAATTTAAATTTTTATGCAAAATAAATAAATAACTCACGCCAAATATTTAATCTTTCTTCGGTATATAATCATATATATTGACTTTTTTCTCTTTTGTTCAAATCATAGCATATTTGTACAAATTAAGAAGAATATATCTTTTAACTAATTGCAAATGTTTTTTTCTTCTTCTTTTTGGTCACAAAAAATATTATTTCTACGAAATAATGTTTGACTTTTGATGTTTTGATCGGAACTGTCATGAACAGTTGTGTATAAATTGTGGTCATATGTGTGTGTTTTTTATTCGAACTTTACCTTGCGCTCAAAATTGGTACTTATTCAAATTCATGGTTCTATGTGAATTTGGCAAATATGACAGTGAAACATATGGTCGTATTTCGAATACATTTCATCTCTTTCGAAATTGAAATATTGTGTAGAGTATTGTGTAGTGACATATTACTTCGTACTAAAGTCGTACTCATACACTAAAACATTTTCATTGCTAGCACAGTTATAAACAATGCATGCACTTGACAGGCGTAGAAGTTTCGTATATGTGTACTTCGTACGCTGTTTGTGTATGTATTTGTGTTTGACAATTGATATCGCATTCAGTTGAGCAACATGGCGGTGAGTGGAATTTTGTTCTATGGTTAACGATGTGTAGATTTTCTCTCTATCTCCCTCGATTTGCCTCTGTGCATGTGTGCAACCAATACGTTTATATCGTGCACGAATTGAACGAAGCGGAATCGGCTTGCGTACCGTCAAAGGTGTGTCTGTGTGCTACACTAAAAACAAGAGGCTCAAAAGCGAAAGCAAATCAATTTCGATTTTATTTTTGACAATAAAAATCCAAGCGATAGAAACAATCTAAATGGATTCCAATTTGATAAATCAATTCGATTGACAGCCACATGTGAATGGAACAATAAACAAAATATTGTGACACAAAAGAATATTGATGATAAAAAAACAGGCTGCATAAAATAGCGAAGTGGAATATGAATTAACAGTAATATCAGTGCAAATCAGTCAATAGATTTAGTGTGTACAATTTGTGTGGATAGAAACCGAGCCAGAGCAGATAGAGGAGGACAGAGACAGAGAGTGTGCGACTAACGCACACATAGACACACTAGCACGCACCAACACGAATAGGCATAAAAAAGACGAATGGCTAACATTGTAGAGGATTCTTTCTTTCCCTTAGAATGACTTCTTCTTCTTCTTCTTATTTTTCAGTTTCATATTCATTTATCTGATGCTCATACTTATAAGAAGGCATTTAATGTTGTGTGTAAGCGTTTTTAACGTCGATAAAAAATCGAGATAGACTTTGGTTGTGGCTCTGATACGTACGTGTGATTTTGAGCTGCGTGCGTGTGACAGAGATAGATAATTCGAGTGTGTCTGTATGTACCGCGTTCGTATGTTGACAGAGTGTGTTCAAGTGATTCTAGTTGTACGCGAGGGTAGACGATTTGAGTTTCTCTTCAAGCAAAAAATTGTCAATCCAAAAAAAAAGAAAACTATTTCATTGTTTTATCTTTTCATTTTTTCGCGTTTAATTTTGTTTTCCCTTTATTTGCCCAATAAAATCGATGTGCAATTTGGAATCCGAACAGTTGAATTGAAAAAAAGAAGAAATTAGTGTTTGGTGAAACCGAATCGATAAAATGTTTGACAGTGAAATATCGCACCAAAGTGGCAATAATAAACGCTAATCATAATCGAAATACAATGCGGTATTGAAAACGGAAAACCCAATGACATTTTGCCAGTTAAATTATTTTTATTCAAGAAAAAATCGGATTTGTGTTCATTTGTTTGTGGTGTGATCATCTATATCATTAGGAAACATGTTAATTACAAGCAACAGCACATATTTTGTCGGCTCACCAATTGGAATTATGTATTGGAAATTAAGTAAAGTTTAGAAGAAGAAGAAAAAAACAGAAAGAGAAAAAAAGTTTGCACAAGCAAACGTATGTTTTGTTCAAAGAGAGAGAGAGACTGTCAATTGGGCACAAATCAAAAGCGATTGTTTCGCTGTGAAATGCTAACACCATCGATATAAAAAGCAAAGTGAAAATTGTGGCATCATTTTCTTGACAATCGACACAAAAATCGATTTTTTTGTATCATCGAAAAAATTGATCGGATTTTGAAATGAAATTGGCAATAGACATGTGTGTCTCGTAACCAAAAAAACTCATGTAACACCGTACGAAAAAAAATCCAATACATTCGCGCAATACATAAAGTTATTTTCTCGGTTCCTGTCTAATGCTCATTGCTTGTCTTGTGTAAACGTAAACGATAAACAGAATATAATATATCGACGATTTAAAGAAAAGAGAAGAAAAAAAAACGATTGAAAATATAATGTTTCGTTAATGATGAAACACTGTTTGTTAGTTCATTAGTCATTGATGAATGGAATGGATTGTGTTTATATGTTTTTTTTTTTTGTTTCAGTTGAAGTGTATATCGCAAGTGTGAGCCAATACATACAGCCCAAATAGAATAAACACCACTAAAACTGATACTATACACATTAAATTTGTTGAAAAAAAAGAGAACAAAATGAAAGCATGCTTCCTAAGTACGGGACCAGTAATCAAACACTTCGTACACCCCGACGTAATTTTCAAATGAATAACCATACAAATAAATTTTGTAACCATCAACCAATGCAAATAATAAGCAATTAATTGTAATACAAAGTAAATTAGAGGAAGAAAAAAAGCGTCGTGTGTCTGTTTTTTGACTGTGCGACAAGTGACAGAGCAGGACAAAACGACGCCAAACCAACAAAGTTTAAATATCTAGCACAGTCAAAGAATAGCATTAGCAATAAAGTCTGACACAGTAAAAAAATAGTGATTCGTTTTGTTTTAAAAAATCGTGAACGTTGCCATAAAAATCTAAATCAAAATGTGGAACATGATGTGTGACGTGATGCCCACCATATCGGAGGATAACATCTCGCAAAGGTCATCACAATTCAGTGGTGATGATGCAAACTTCGAACAATTGATGGTGTCAATGCTAGATGAACGTGACAAATTGATGGATAGCCTGCGTGAAGCTCAAGAACGTCTCAACGATGCTGAAATCAAATTGTCCGACACGGAGAAGGAGCGTGACAGTCTACAGAGACAAATCAATGCAAATTTACCGCAGGTAAGTCGAACGGTTTTGTTCAAAATTTGCAAAAGTAGAGAAAAAGAAACGTTTGAAAATACACGCAAAATTGAATCCACTTAGTCGGCAGGCTAAACGTTAAAGACTAAACATCGTCCAAATTCCAATCTCTGAACTGTGGATTGTTCTTTGATCTATTTTTAATGCACGTCGGGCTTTATTTTCAATGGCCGATATTTCTTCTTCTCGTTTTATGCATTTTTATCAATCAGTAAATAATTATTTTTACCATCTTCCGGTTCATACCATCAGCGCATCTCGTACACATACTTATTGAATTCTCTGTCGCATGAAATTGAGTCTGTCAACAAATGGTTTCAATTTATGGATCTTAAAAACTCTTGATTGCATGCGAAGCAATAAGGAAGAGCCACTCAAAACATCAAAAAATGTTGAAACACCGCTCGATTTTTTTCCCTTTTGTTGAGCCATTTCCGTGGAGCATTCACGCATTGCTAGCCAATTGAGTTCATTACCTTCATTTATGGTTATAATTGGATTTTCGACTTCTAACCAACAAAGCAAATGTACACTGAATTTTTTCTTACTTGTTTCCATTTTTCTTTTGAATAACAAAATCGACTAGCAAAAATATGGAAACAATTTTCGTTGGGTCGTTCTTGAAGTAAATTGAAAATATTATCACAGAATGCCGTCCATGAAACCGCTTCCTGTTGGTTCCAAGAAACAGCTGTGTCTCGACGCGGACACACTCATAAATTTGCTTTGCATATAAATATATTGTTATTAACGCGATTTTGATAATGAAGGGAGCTGAATCAAAAAGTCTTTCATTCAAAATAATCAAGTGAGAAATGATATTTATGACTCGTTCATCATATATCAAAGACTCGTTTTGCCAAAAAGTATATATGCATTTTTTTATAGACAGTCACTTCGATGTCCCATTTGAATTTTACTGTGAACGACAGAATTAATATAAAAGAACGATCGAGCAACATAAAGTGAACCGAATCAAAGCGGAAAAGTGGGGGCGTTTGATGTGTCAATGCCAAACATCACTGCAATAACAAACCACTCAAAATATTCGAACCAAACACTTTGCTGACTAAAAAACACTCTTTTTTTAATGAAAAAAAAACATCCAATGGCTTTTTCAAGCTTCCAAAAACGTACACTCTATTGGACAATAAAATATGTGTCTGACAGATATCAATGCAGCATTAACAAAATGAAATCATGATAGAATTGCTTTTTTTCAATTTATTTCAAAGCCAAAATTTCATCCTTGTTTTTCTGTTGTTTTTCATAAAAAACCTCGAAACTTTTTTCAATTTTATCGATGATTTCTTTCACGAGATTCGCTTTTTTTTCTTCATCATTGAGTGCCATTTTTATTGGTTCAATAACCGATGTGTGGATTTTGGCTGACTCCTTTTTAATTTCGACATCATTTGGGGCCAGTTTCTTTTTGGCAAATTTAGCCAATTCGTCGATCGCATGTTTTACTTCATTGAATTTATTATTGAATAATTTGTTGGCATAATAATTTTCAATTTGTCTCATCGACTCTTCAAAATGCTTTGTTTCAACGTGCATACGAAAAAGAATGCTGTGCAATTTCTTTATAGCGTCTGGTGAAGAAGATCCGAACTTCTTCTTAATAATGGCTTTATTAATATTTGGAAATGGTTCTCCTCGTTCCATTCGTATATCACGAAACGTTAGATACACATCGCCTTCAGTATTCTCATTTTGTATAATAAGATTATCAATGCTTTGGATAACTGATTTTAAAAGAGTTGTCAAAGTGGCCGGATGTTTTTCACCAGCAAATGTCCTAATCGATTTCATGCTATATCCAAACCAGTCAGTGAAACGAGTACATGAATTTGCTATACCATAGATAGCATCCACCTCTTTGTCAACAGCCTCCAGCGGGTTATTTGCCATACTGAAACCGATAAGCTAAAATTTAGGCATCACAAATTTTGTTATTTCAATGAAGACACTTTAAAAACAACTTTGCAAAAATTACGTACAACGCCAACGAATAAAAACGAAAGCAACTTCATTTTTTATTATTTGTGCTCTGTGCCGCAAAAAGTATTGTTACCGAAAACAAATTAAAACTGTTTCTCATCATGGTCTCTCACAATCTTTATATATACACGATTTATATCGAACGATTCTCGTTGTGAACAATTTTGACGTATTTTTACGTCATTATTATTATTATCATTATTGTTGTCATCGTTATAATTTTATTCACATTACATCCAAAAACATTTTCAGTTGGAAATCATTCATTTGAATTCATTGTGTCAACGATTGCTGATCCAACAATATTCTTTTCTCTGTCGATCCTAAGCGATGCTCAGCAATAAATTATTATAGAAAAATCGAATTGCAAATTTTAAGCCGGCAACTGGAAGCGAAAAAAAATATATTTCAAAATCGAATCCTAAAAGTTTCTAATAACACCTGCTACACAATATAATATTTGCATCTTCTTGCGATATTTTCAACATTTTGCATTATTCACGTATTGCTTTCGCAATATGAATGTTTGCTATGCATAAAGCGCTTCGATTCGGGTTTTGATCTCGAGTCATTTCTAACAAATGATCCATTTTCAAATTCTATAAAATATGAATTGTGCCATGTACGTTAAACTTTTAACATAATGCACATTCTCTCTCTCTCTCTCTCTCTCTCTCTCTCTCTCTCTCTCTCTTGCGTGTGCTTCGACATTTAAGAAAAGAAATACATAGATATGAATTGTTAATAAAAATTGAGATTGAACGTCAACGTGTGATGGGTTTCCAGAGAAAGTATATTCCACATTATCCGCAAGCATCACAATGTAATCCCATGTGTATATATTTATCAAGATCATGTTGAATCCACTTTGTTCATCGAAAAATTAACGAATTATTATTTATTTAATTCGAAGCTCAGATAAAATTCATCGTTGATATTGCCATAAATCCCGCACATACATGGAAAAATGTTTTAATGTGATAGATAGAAGTCAGTCTGTTTGTCGTCATCTTTTTCGCATATCAACGAACTCGAGTGGAAGATTTAATTTTCAAGAGGTTTTCTTCTGCATTGCGAGCATTCATCGTTTGTGATGTAATTAGCTCAAAATATACAAAAATATTCATATATGTGCGCGCTGTGATGCGTACATTATGCGCATCATCGGAGAAAACTCTCACTCACGCACTCTTTTTTTTGTTCGGCTTTCTCTGAGTATCAGGAAACTTAGAACAAGCACTGATGTTCATAAAAAATCAACAAAAAAACTAGTTTGTTTTTCCTGTGCTGTTATTACTCTCTTTACCAGCGGTACCAGTCACTGTTTAAGTTATTTTTAGACAAAAGAGAGAAATAAGACAAAGTGGAAAAAAAGAAGAGAATCAAAGTGTCATTTACATTTCACATCACTTATGGAAGAAAGTTTATTTTTAACACAATTATTATTGTTCTATTTTCTTGTTCTTCTTTTGGTTGCAAAGAAACGCGCGATGAAATGAAGCGTATATGTGTATGTACGTGTTCGGCCCGAAGATAGGATCCAATTCATTAAATTTTGCATTTCTATGTATTCATTCATTTAATACCCAATTGATTTGATGGAAAAACCGAAACGGCTGATGCACATATAATAATTTGATGAAGAGCCAAGTGCTGGTTTCATGTTCATTACAGTGAAATTCGTTATATTTTGTGGATATAATACCATTCCATGAACGAATTCATTAATGATAATAATCATCCAGCAGCATCGGCGCTGACATAATAAATCAAGGCAATTTGCACCAAAGCAATCGGCCAACTCCTTTCAAAATTACCAAGTCCAAACAACAAACACGGTTTCCAATAAAACCACAACCGTCTATAATTTACTCAACAAGAACAGATATAAATGTAAACTTAATACAGTAAACTGTCTTCTTGTTGTTGCTCTTTTAGCTCATCGTATTTCTTGTGGTTAATTAAGATTTATTTGTGTTTTGATATTCAAGCCATTGTGTCTGCGCCGGTTACTCGTTTTGCCTCCCAATGATCTAAAATGACAATGTAACATGCGATTTTTCTTATTTAACATCGCTCTCATGCCAGAGATTCAAACTGATTTCATGCGTGGCTTTTTTCTCTCTCTTAATCTTTTTTCCCTTTTATCGGAAGTTTCACGCAGTGATTTCTGCTCACGTCACCATTAATCATCTCTCTCGCGAGCATAAAACTTCGTGTAAATTTGAGTATATATATACATTTGATGGTGTACACGCCGGTTGGATTTCACTAAACACTGGGGAACAATAGTTTTTATTTTGTGCTGAAGCATTTTTTTTTCGAAACAAAGTTTGTCGGAATGAAGTTATCGCTTCCATTTTTCACATTGATTCAAAATTGTTCAGGGAATATCATATCATTGCTTGAGTGAAAATCAATTTGCATTCATTGTGGCACATCATTTCTCCTTTCACAATGCCATAAACACGTAATCATTATTGCATTGATTTAATTTATTTGAAATTTCGTAAAATACCATTTGCGAGAGCTGGCACGTTGCAAGTGCCATAAATGAAAAATCGATTTTTGCGCACAACGAAGATGAATGATATGATAATCAAACTTTTAAACTGAGTTCTTTTTTAATGAGACCAAAAAATTGTTATTTCATCAAAACTTGAATCGAGTCGCAAATTTGTGTCACTAAAATCATGCAGCAATAATTGTGCGTTTAAGATGTAAGCGACCATAATTTTGCATTTCATTCAATTCAAAAATAGATTTGATGGCACAATGTGAAAACGTCAAGTGCATTTCATTTCTGACCCAAAACATATCTATGGTTTACCGTTATGAAGTATACAATTGCATTGTTCGCTTTCACATTATAAAAGCCATTTATTGACCAGAGGTAATTAAACCGAAATATGAAAACTTCATTGTGAAATATGAAAATGGTTTACAGACTTTCGGGATTTTATGCCGATTTTTCGGTGTCGTGCATTTTCATTATTTCATTGGATGATATGAAAATCTATAATTGAGATGGGGCAGAAAAGGATGACAAAACTGTACACTTTATCCCGATTTTCATTAAGTAAACACGACTATTTACATAGTACGGTTGAATGAACATGATGACCGAAAAAAGCGATGTGCATGCCGGGAGTGTTTTATCTGTGACGATGTCAGCAATATTGTTAGCATCAGTGCAATTTTTGGGGTCGCAGGTCAATAGTCTACTTTTAAATTGAGTCGATGATACAATGGACACATAAAATACTAACCAGAATGGCTCTTGTTCATTGTGTATCCATTTTACATACAAATAGAAACCACCAAGTAGATTAGCACACATATTGCTTTAACTTGAGCTTGTCCGCTTTGCGTATATGATTTGCGTATCTTTTATGGGCTGTCCCCAATGAATGGGATTTAAATAGAATGAAGAGGGGAACATGTTCAATCAATACAAATCTCAATCATTTTGGACATTATCGTTGATCAACATTTAGCCATAATTTTTCTACTATTGTGATACAACAACTCAACTCGTTTTGCTTCCACTTTGAAATAGTATTGAACGTCAATATGCTTTTCTAAAACAGTTTTTTACAGACAACATTTCATTTCATTTTGCTCACTTCAAAACATTCATTGATTAAATATGGTTATTTCTAGTTTTAGATAGACTTTATTGAATTTAAAAAAAGAAAACATGTGTGTATTTGACGGGTTCGTAAACAAGTAAAGCACAACACGAGAAACATTTTAATTGAATTTTTAGTTTATTTCTGTAAACATAATTTCAATTTTTGGTCAATTTAAAAGAAATCGGTTCTCTCTCTCTCGCTCTCTCTATTTCTTTTGTGTATGAAAGCAATTTTCGTACTGCCCATATCCAAAATAAAAAATATGTCTGCACTGAATTGCAATTGTTTGTTATTTCATAAAATCGAATTTATGATTTCATTTCGATTGCTTTCATAAACTTTGTGATCTATTTTAATATGCTTTTAAAATAAAAAGTTTTGGTCAGTTTTGTTTGTAGTAATCATTACTTTGCGCCGCAATGAATAGAAAAAATTGCATTACAAAAAGGATTTTACATTTGACGTAATGGTGCAACACGCAACTATTACAACTCTCGTTCTTTTTTTTCATTTGAAGCGAACAAAAGAAACTGTTTTTTTTCCTTGAAACAAAATGAATGAACAATTCAATTCGATTGAATGCGCTGATTTTTGTAAAACACGATTCTGAGAATTTTTTTTTACACTCGTTATTTAGATTTCAAGCAATGGTAAATTATTCTGTCTCCTTTTATTTGCTAACTGGCGACGTGCTTCTGCATTGGTGCCGTTTTCTCGTCTTTTCAAATGAAAATTACACACAGTTCTTGTAAGTAACACTGGGTGAAACTTCCATGAATGACGAATAAAATGTAAGAAAAAACTGTAAACACAAATCGACAAAGAACTATCCCATTGATTATCGGCCTTCAATTTCTGAACATAGTTTGTAATGTCACGTATAATGAAGCAGTTCTCGTGTACTTTATAATTAGCAAAAATTCAATTCTTTGTTTAAAATTCACTAAATTTCATCTATGTAAACATATTATATCTGCATAATTTTAAATATCATTCGATTTATTAATGTTTTGTTGGCGCGATATTATTATTCCAACTTTTAATTTACATCAAATGTATGATTCATTAGATCTATCTAACGCTCGTATACAGATAATAGTTATTTAAAGTGAAGAGTCGATAAAAGTTATTATTTTCATGTTCAAAATTCAAAATATGGTTACAAGTATGACCAAATCATATTAAAATTTTGCACAAATGTAAGCAAAATTAGTAAAATCTGCTGCATAGTTTTGACATTTTCTATAATTATTTTGCTTTTAAAATGTTATGATTTTGTCCAGAAATGTAATTCATTGAATGAATAAAATGTGTATCATTTGGGGTTTCAGAGCGGATATAACCGAATTAACCATTTTATCTGTCATGACATAAAATAATCATGTTTCATTATTTCCATAATGCGACCAAATGATAGAATGAGCACGAAGCCAAAAACAATGATATTATCAAGGTATCGTC